CATATGCTTGGTCGCTTCCCTCCTCATCATTCTTGCATATTTAGCGGCAGTCCTGGTAATTTACAAGCTGTGTTCGAACCGGAAGCCCAATTCTTGCATGCTAGGGACAGTCCTGCGTTGCTACAGCGCGACGCAGAATTTACACAACCTCACCATGGCAAGCAAACAACATCTGCGTGCTGGTGCTCGTCTCGTTAAGCAGCATATCTGCCCAGTTGGCCTCTATCCAGATTCCACCCAATGTCCGGTTGGATTTTAACCGTCGTGGCGGGCAGAGTTCTGGGCCTTCTTCTGCCAATGGCGGATTGGTAGTTAGCACGGTTTGTGTGCTCTTTAAGTTCACATCTTTGCACGGGGTACAAGTTGTCCAGATGTTATTCACCTTTTTCGAAACTAGGGACTAGTTTCCATATGCGGCAGTGTGTTGCCTTTTTGCGCTTGGTGTTCACAAGCAATACATTGTTACAGGGTGAAGGGATCTCGACAGTTTTTAACATCGGCCTCCGTGCAGCATGCGACCACTCGCTGCCCTAGGAAGACATTGAACACTTCCCCTATATTTCTGGTGGCTTGCAGATGCCGATTGACTGCTGGTTTATCTTCCCTGACCAGCCAAATGAGCTGACTGAATCGCATGCAGTCATGCCATGTAGACCGATTAAGGCAGTACCCACATGCCTCCCAAGTATTGTCCCCAACGCTTGATGTCGATCAGACTTCATCTGATTTTTCTTATCCACGTTGCAAAATGGATTCGGCACGCATTTGTGGAGTGAGGCGAAGCGAATGACAAATTACCTCTGTATCTTCTGAAATCACCGACGACCCTTGGTAGTTTGCCTGCACGCATGCCCTTTGCATGTATCATCATCCTGCGATGTCAGCCTCTCATTGTGTGCTTCGGAGGTCCACCATCTCTGGGTCAGCTCTGTCCACTCTCTGTCTTGTAAAGCATGTTCGCGCTGAGGTTACCGAACCATATGCGTTTCACCGAGTTCTCCGCTCGCTTTCTTTTCCTTCCAGTTCTCTGGTTCTAGGAACGATTTGTAAGCTTGGTCTTACTTTCCGTGCTGGCCAACATCGCGTTCCAACTCTTGATCCTGTGTCCGCGCGGCTTGATCTGTTGAGAATACAATTCCATGTCCTGAAAGCGCACGTTTGGTGCGCTGCTGCAGCCTTGATGGACTGTTCTCTGTAGAATGTCGAAACTACATCGATGTCTTCCACTTGCCCTCTGACATCATTCAGAATTTTCTTAAAGGTTACATGCAGCGAGTTCATAAATGTCAGATTTTCACGGCGTGAACCATTTGCCGGCCACTATCGCGCCCATGGCTCAACGTATTGGTTGCCCGAGAACCATGTGTTACTGGTAAACTCTAACTTTGCAAATATCTTTCTCAAGATGTTTGGCCCTAATGTTGATTTAGGCCTGTTTTGCTTGCAGTGTTCCATCTCGCGTTGGCTAATTGCCAAATGTGTTTGCCTGCGGGATAGCTTAGCACGTTCTTGCATGTCTAGCTTCCTGATTTGTGCCACTAGAAGCATGTGTCGCAAAACCCTGTTGTCGGCTTCAATACTATCTGCTTCTCTGTTGTTTGTTCCCTCCTTTGACAACCGTTCGTTTCTGTAAAGGCGCTGAAATGTTTTGTAGATTCAGGTTTTTTTTTTCTTGGTCCCGTAAATCCTCTCGCGGACTCCGAGTACCGGTGTTCACGGATCTTTGAAACGCTCTTCTCCTTTGCTGTGTGCTGTTCATAGCAGATGTTATGTAGGAGTTGCCGCAACACCCGTGGAAAAGACTTCACAAGGTTTGACGGTTTGGTTTGAGAATGGCTTCGTCCAGTTGTTTTCTAAACAAGTCTCGTAATTAACCGCTAGCATCTGCTTCGTCCCTCCTTATTCTTGAGTGACTGCAAGTCGCGCATGACCTAGGCCTTCCTGTTTTCCAGAGACTGGCTATGCAGGTTCACGAAGCTGCGCTTAGAGCTTCAGCTTCGGTGTTTAGCGTCAGTAAAAGCGGACAGATGCGTTCTGGGTGTTAGGCTGGAAGCCTTTTGTCCACCTGCGGTTTGTGTGTCTTTATTTTACTGTCTCTTCTACTGTCTCAATCTATCCGCGCATTTTAGCAAACGGGTTAGGTTGTCTAGCTGGACTTGAGACCCACCATCGAGAAAATGATCATGAAGGTCTGGCATGTGCTGCTCCAACTGTGTCATCTGTGCATAGTACACTGCGTAGGTATCGAGAGTAATTTGTGTTTGTCCATTGTAAAGCACCAAGGAATCATGTCCCTGATACATGCTAAAAAGTGGCCAGTCTCCTTCACGATCTGCACGTATCAGCCCAAGTAGTATCTCCACCGTATCAATATACGTCATCCAAAATGCTGAAAGCTGTCCACTGTCGTGACGCAGAACTTCTACGTTACCACGCAACAAATGCAGAATCCTCTGGGACGACTTGTCATTCCTACTAGATTCAAGGGTGGCTGCACAGGTATCGTCATGCATCTCCAGTACAAGACGCAAGGTTTCATCTAATCTCGCCCGAGATTCAAAATCCAACCGAAGGACATGGGTGGAATCTGGATGGAGGCCAACTAGAGTATGCTGGCTTACAGGAGCACCAGCACCAGATGTTGCTGCTTGCATTGATGTTGTGTAAGTGTTCTCGTGTCGGTGCAACGAGGACTGTCCCTGCGTGCAGAATGGGTTCCGCGTGCACACCAGCTTGTAAATTACAGGACTGCGCTAATATGCAAGATGATGAGGATGAAGTCGACCAAGATATGAACAGTGACAGTGATTATGATGAGTAGATCTAAAATTGATGCAAAATGGGTCCATAGGTAGGTTGTAAAAATAAACCAAATCTCGGGTTTGTTACATGCGGTGGGTGATGTTAGGCCCCAAGTGTGGTCCTACATGTATTGTGGAACGGTCTATAGCTTTAAAGGGTTTGCACTGTAAAGTCGGCTCTGAGAGTTCCATAGCATGGGCCTTAATTGCTGTAAACCAAATTTTTGTGTTTATTCATCAATGGTACACATTATTACACATATACGATCAAAGTTTGATCGTACAGATCTGGTATTGCCCCCCCCCCATCTCCACAGCTGCGAAATGTCTATAATTTGTAATTGCTCGGATTATATTCGTTAAAAACAAGCAAACTGTATGATAAATTAATGTAAAATGTTAATTCCATCCAATAATAAGACCTTATTGAACAATTTATATCTTTTGTATGTTGTGTAGGTCTATGATATCCAACATTAACCCTACCTCAAAATCCAAAAATGGCAAATGTCTCTCATGTCGAAAAAGATGCCTGCAGATCATGCGAAGTGGCAAAATGTCAATGTAAGACATTCTGTGGATACCTCATGAACCCTTCTAGATAACCAAACACAAAATTTGGCCAAAATTATATTCTAACATTAATTGTGTCAACTTTGAAGACAGATGTGGAAAAAAGCATAAAAACGGCACTTTTTTTTTAGGCACAGATAATACTGAAAGAAACATTATTACATCATATATCACAGAATGCGAATCTCAATACGAACATTTTTAAGCTCAAACTACATGCTAATACAAACATTCCTGTAGTGAGTTATGCATAATTTTTCGTGACTCCACACATTTTGGTGAAATAATGGCGGCCATCTTTAAGTTGCCGCCCTAGGGGCATTTGGCAAAGTGACCCGAAAGTCCATCAAGTGATTTTGGACACTTCATATATCAGGGCTAACACGCAAAATCCAGTGTTGGATCTGTTCACCTCTTGGTAATGAAACCCAAATTTTGGAGCGGCTGGCTCATGACTATTACGGCCTGCTCTTGTTGTCTTGTCGTTAAGTTATATATCCATGTAGCTCTATGCTCTGCCACACGGCATAGTGTGATGGAAAACCGGTAAGCAGTGTGTTAGCACAGAAAAATTCAGGGAGTCTCACCATCTGAGCAAAGTGAGGATGCTGCGGCGCGAAGCACCCTAAGGGGAGCGGCTTTACCTTAGAAATTGGAGGAAATTTAGTCGGAAATGCCAAAAGACAGGAATGTGATATGATTTTAATATTCTTATAAGCAATGTTGTCAGTTATACAATGTGTATAATATATAAAATTGGGCGGCCCTCATGGCGCGCCTCTATCAAATTTCATCCGTCTCATCCAAGAATAGGCCGTCCAAAAGACGGGTAGACAGCGTCTCTGGCCAACACACTGCCGGTGAGAAATATTTGCAGTATACCAGCCTATGCGGTAGCACGAGCTACAACAAGAAGCGAAACCGGTAAATGTGTAAAATGTGTAGGCTTTATGCTGCCACTCTAAACTTACATAATTTGGCCAATTGCGCCGTTTATTTTAACGAAAATGATCGCACGAGCAACATTTGCGGCCATATTTAATTAAACTAGCGAAAGCGCCCGCTAATAGGCAGGCACTCAGCATTTCAATGCAGGTGCACTCACACAAACCATGTATCACACAACCAACCATCTCACCAACTGTGGCGGAGCGAACGGCTACACGCATAGAGCTCATAATTCGCACTATGTTAGATTTCTGATTAATTAACACGTGTAAAGATTTGCACTACTCATAATAACCTCTGCCAAAAAACAACCTAAGTACTAGACTTAAGCTAAACTTTTTCTCCCCCGTTGCTACACATTGGTGCCCTGTTCGGGTTCCCCCCCCCACCCATTACACTAACCGCGATGATCCAGTAAGTACAATCCCTCATAAAGAACCTGCCACCACTGTTCAGTGTTCACATCCTCCCACCACACATCCACGTCATCTGTCTACCACTCATAGTGAAACATCACCCTTGATACCGTATCCTACAACATGTGCCTACCATACATGATATGACATGACGTATATACCGTATTCCACGTCATCCGCCACCGACCACATGATACTGCATGACGCTATACCGTATCCCACTTCCTCCGCCTACCACACATGATATGACATCAGCGTATACCTCTCATGGTAAAGGCATTCATGAACAGTGGTGTACACTGGCTCTTCTTTAACTTTTTCTCTGGTGGAGGCACGGTGATATCCTCTCCCTCGATCGTCTGCACGAACATATCCTCAGGCTGTGCAGGTGACAACACGTATCATATATATATTCACATTTACTACGAGACCATAAATAATATTATTGAACACAGAGATGGCCGAGAATATAAAATTTCTAGCCAAATACAAGTTAACAATAATTATTAGCAATAACTCAAGTTACTACTCTACCATAAGTTACAAGTTAAGACAAAGTGATACCGTACCTTAATGCGCTCCTTCTGGACACCTGACGGGGCGATATATATAAGGTCCCTGTTATTAAGAAAATAAATAGTAATTAGGAACACACATTGTTAATAAATTGGGAATGTTACAAACAGTGAAAAAAATACACAGGGCTTGGGGCGATTTAGCCCCCCAAATGCAAAAAAGAGCCCCGGAAATGCCAAAAAGAGCCCCCAGAAATTTGCATAGAGTTTAATGCAAACCAAATTTTAGAGTGCTATTTTTATCCACGCGAGATTGAAAAGTAGCCCCCAAAAAACAAATTTTATTTTTTTCCCTGGTTACAAATCTCGAGCTGACAGTGACATGTGTTTCCCCAGTTATTTTGAGTTATCAGGATAGGTGGCAGCAGTTTACATGCACGTCGATTTTAAGAACACGCATACAATAAGGCTTCGGTTAATGAAAGTGTAGTACTCTTACTCATATCTGATGGAGACACCTCCACCTGTGCCTGTCACCCAGCCAATATCGTAAAAGAGCCGACATAGCTCTGGGATGAGGTTGCGTGGATGTTCCTATATTAACCAAAGAAATATGAGCGGTGAGTATAGAGCTGAAAGTGCAATCTACAAAGCCATAGTAAAGTTCCAGGTATTTTCTATATATCTTATCTTGAGTATACAATATATATATAATATCAGGAGTTAATGAGACAAATAATGTGGTGGTATACTATATACACTATATAATATAATAGTCTAGGGTTCTCCCAGATTTTAAAAGGCATGGAGTTTATGGATCGAAGCAGTTGGACTCAATTACGCATATCATAAACACAGGTAATTAAACTCGATAGATTTGGAGATGTATACATCAAGCTGTGACAGCACAGCATAATCACTCAAACTGGCATGCCAGCGCCCTTCCTCCACACTCAGGCATATACCAACTGCCACAAGCTAGAACTAATTTTTACAAGTGGGCGGAGCTCCGGGAAAATCCAGCAATGGCAATCCAACGCCGCAAAGTCGTCGCTGAAGCAAAACATTAGAAATTTCTATGATTTACTGTTGTGTGGACAAAATTTAAGTTTTTAAGCTGAATAGCAAAAATGTAGGCAAAGCCAAATGTTTCGAGAAGTTAGGTAATTGCAAGCATCCCGAAAAATTCATGAAGAAATACGTGAACTAGTTAGTAAAACAGCGTAATGATTCTAAAAGATAAATGCAGCAACTATTTCGTATCACTATGTATCAAATTGCCATGAAATCATGACCGATTTATTATCTTTGCAGCTTTATATAAACACCTATACATAGGAAAGTACGAGGCGCTGTAAAACTTATAGTAAAAAAGGCGTAAGAAATTCTTACGGAAATCAGCTTGTGCAGTGTAAAATTGAGCCAACGAGAGCGCATCTTCAGTGATTTGAAGCATGAACTTTTAATTACAAAAGTAAATACAGATCTGGAAATTAAGGCATGTTGTAAGATTTATGGAACACAACAACATAAGTTCCGCTTTTGAATTCATGTACGAACAAGGCTCCGAATTAAGCGGCGAGAAAGGCAGGCAATTTTTTAGGGCAACGTAGAAATCGCCTTGAATCTTCTCAAAATGAAGCAAACAGAGGCAAATTTTAAAAGGCACCAAGGAACTTTCAAAATTGAGAAGGGCACCAAGGCACTTTTGTAAAAAAAAAAAAGAAAACTCTAACAAATACTACATCAACATCCGTTTGCTTTTAATGTACAAAACAATATCCCTCCATGTGAGCCTACACCGAAACACCGACGCTTGTTACCCCCTCGCAATGGAAGTACAGTAACAATAAGTTTTATATGCCCGCTTGCCTATCAGGAGTGAATAATTCCGATCTGTTAGTCCCTCCTGCGACTGGTTTAAGCCATCATTGCACACTACATGCACGCACACGCACAGTTTTATGTTATTAAGAGTGTATAAAAATAAATAAAATTCAGATTCGACTAAAAACGCGAAACTAGGCAGTAGAATTAAAAAGGCACCGACGGCATTACACAAAAGGCAAGCAGACTGCCGTCGTTCGACGTTGAATTTCAGGGCATACGCAATTGATAGGGCCAAACCGACAAGCAATTGCCGCGGTGCCGTCGTTTAATCGAGCCCTGAGTCGAACCTGACATGCAATTAAAACCTAGAGAAGTCCGAATTTATATAAAGTTGGGATCCGAATCACGTAGGATACAGAAACTGCCCATGATCCTATGAAAAGAATAAAATAATATGAACGACACATTCACAAATACTAACCGAGGCCCTAACCTCTCAATACAGTCCACTGTACGTTGTGTCACTGATATCAACTTTTCCTCAATAAAACTAACACAGCCGAACGCTCCCGCACTTTCGCCCTGCGAGTGCAATTATCATGCGACACAGCACACTCGCAGTCCAGCGCGATTCTGAGCGTATCGCATTATTTTATAAGGAAAATTGATAACAATGTACCAACAGTGGAACTGCTAATTGATAATTAGGGCTACGTAGCTCTATACTATAGCCCGCTTACATTAATGACTGGAGTTAAGGGCAGGGCAAGTTAATGAACGGGCCCAAGATAGAGAACATGGGTCCCCAAAAAACCAATGTGCCCTAACCCTACCACCTAACCTAAACCACATACTATTATTTAAATATTGATATAAATTGACAATTATATTGATTAAAGAATTGTTTATTGACCATGTCCTATCCTTGAACCGAAGCGTGCTATAGACTGCGCTTCAAGTCCGTTGTCGTACCAGTACACAGATAATTAAAACGCCGAGTACATATAGTAATACACAAAAGTGACCAGACTGTAACTACAGCAATGTACCCGACACGTACCTACAAAGTGTACCTCTAAACCCTAACACTAACAACTAACCCTAACCTAACTCTAACCTAACCCTAACCCTAAACCATACCTCATATCAAAAATAAACATAATACTAAAACAAGCTAAAAGCACCTCGGATACATAATCTGTAGTACCTGTTACCGACAACGACACCTTCGCTATAGTACTGACTAGGCCACGTACCCAATAAACGTATTGCCAGGGTTAGAATAGGGTGATTGAACTTAGCACACAGCCTGGTAGGGTTAGGCCTACGGTATATTGTGAAAGTGTGTTCATATTATTGTTCAGTTTTTACTGACCGTCTCTGTCCCAAGTGCCTGTTCTGGCACTAGTATAGAGTATAGCGCCACTTACTACAATTTACAAACGGGGGTGAAGTGCTTAAAGTTAACCGTTAACGGGTATGTCACGTGTACTACTAAGCTTGCCTCTGGTAACGCTGGATCCATAATGTATATTATTTCACAGAAATTAAATTGCTAAAACGACGACCACATGCAATCGACGACCTGTGCAATGCCAATATAACATACACCGCTACAGCCTACAAAGTGACTGTACACACGTGTCTACGACTGACATTCTGTCTTGTGCGTGCGGTTACAAAATAGACAGGGAACTTGTTGTGCGATAGTGGCGCCACCAAGTGCCGAAATCCTATACATTTAATTTCCCATAATTATGATATGGTTACATAATAGAAATAATATATTATAGGTTGACTCTATATAATACGGTAATATACGTAATATACGTAATAAGGTAATATAGATGTATTTATAGGCATATCATTTTGTTAACGGTAGAGACCAGCGAGTTAATTGTTGTTTGCGACTGAAAATTTAGTTCAGTGTCATGCGTAGATTACGAAAATTTCCATGCGTCCGGACAGGAGTCACCGAGTGTATGTATAATAGGAGATATAATATAATATATAGAGAAGCCAGTCGGTAAAAATGTTGACTTCAATTACGTGTGATTGACATTGCTTGTTTTTTTAACTGACAATTATATATATGCCCCTAATTTGTATGTGTTTGTTAATGTATATATATCAAGAGCTAATAATGACAAATATTTTGTCATTATTAGCTCCTGATCGTGAGTGACCATACATATTCGAAATCCGTAAAGTAAAGCACATATTTTTTTAAATACGCGTTTTTATGTAACTTTAAATTTATTATTTGTAAAATACATATATCCACATTAAATTCTTGCTAATGCTCTGTCTCACACTAAATACCATACATATATGTCATGAAATACCAGAATACAATATTTAATTAAACCGATTCGGCCTACACCTCATCAATTAACTAAACAAATAAACAGTAAAATGAAGGCCACATATTTAGAGCTTGTACGTTTCGCATACTATGTGATATTTTTTACGAAATAAAATTTTATGTGAATTAAAACTTTGATAGTAGCTTTAGATCTAATCAATTAAATCTAACCTCTCAATTTTAATTTATTTTAGCAATTTAAGCAGAAACTGAATGCTGACGAGATAAATCTGAGCAGCGAAGGTAGGGGACGGACACCAGCTGTCAAATATGCAATTCAGGGACGGATCTAGGGGGGTGTCCGGGGGTCCGGACCCCCCTTTAATTTCAAAGTGCCATAATAAATTTCATCACAATTTTTGTAGGGCTAGTTTTACTTTGTTTCCGCTACTGTCGATACTATATATGCCGTTCGTTCACAGATGAAGGGCGTACAGGGCGACAAGGACAACTGGCACCACTACTACATCGGCAAATACGCGGGCAGCGTTCACACGAACGAGGCGCTAGAGGGCGCGCAGGGATGGTGCGATGGATCCGCGGGAGGAAGACACCCCTTCAGTAGCGACATGCTGAATCACGCAGGTACGGACTGAGTTCCGGACCCCCCGGACACCCCCCTAGATCCGTCCCTGAATTGCATATTTGACAGCTGGTGTCCGTCCCCTACCTTCGCT